TATATTTCACTTAATATAATTTGGTTATCTATAAATTGTTTTAGTCTGGGTGAATCTTCACATTAAAGAATCATGACTATTTCAATATGACATTTTAGTGATTTGTGGCCAGTTCCATAGTTCATTAAACTTATTTTAATTTGAAAATTATGTCAAAACACACAACCCCAAAACTTCTATTATTTTTAACTAAAATTTCCAAGTACACAGATTTTCCAGAATGAGTTTGGTTCATGTTTAGTTAAGGGGAAATCCTTAACTAGTGAAAGAATAATTTCCAGCATTATTTCTTGTGCTCTAACTGTTTGTCAAACACTGTAATTCCTTGAAACACCTCATTTTTTGTTGTTTTTATAATGTCAGACACTGATTACCATTATTACTGCCATTTTACAAGACAGGAAATTGAGATATCACTGAAGCTAAGTAGCTATTCATGGTGAACCAGCTAGTTAGGAATAGCTTCAAAATTCATAATCATTCTCATTAACCCTAAAACATGTACACCTAACTTTTAACCCAGATTATGTATTAATGTAGTAATAATGCACCCTTATGAGGACACATGGGAAAGAAAATTTTTTTGCTTGAAGAATTGGACTGATTTGCTAGAAATTCAGTTGGGTGACAAGTGCTCCAAGACATCTGTTATCCTCTGTCATTAGCACAACCATCATAATTACACACCCACTGACATGATCCTAAGATGCTTTGGGGCTGGCTCTGCAGTGCTGTTAGTCATTCTGTTGCTGTACTTGTGTCTTGTTAAAGGAATTTGGAGTTGGTAGATGATGGAGAAAAGAAAAATTAGTATTTAGAACCATACAATTTCAGAGCTGTAATTACAGATAATCTAACGTAGTGATTCACAATCTTTCTGGAAGGAATGGTGGGACCAGCATCTCTTTAGAATACTCGGAATGAGAAGACACAAGACAATTTTTCTGGATGTCCTTCTACTTGAAGGTAGTTTCAAGTTCAGCAAAAGAGAAGGGCCTCAGCATGAATGACAGGGCCTCTTCTTTGACTATGAAGGGCAGAATGGCGATCCTCTAGACAGATACTCTTATTCTTGAGAGTGAAAGCAAAGGTGCAGGCTCTGAGGTTCAGCAGAGAGTACACAGCACTGTGGTGAGTATCCAGAGAGGCTGAGGTCAGCTCTGCATGTAGCACCAGCACTCAGAGGGACACAACAGCAACTAGTATCCTGGTCAAGCCATCTCCCCAGGCTGCAGCAGAGGCTGAAAACACAAGTGCATTCTGCTCCTGAACTCTTTATAAAATCTCCTTTTCTATGCTGGTTTGAGTTTGCATGGGTCTTGTGCATGCTGCCACCATTATTATAAGTTAGCTGGGGAACTATCTGCTGCTTCTTTAAGGGAGTGATGATAAAACGACTGACCAGGCTCCACTGGATGAACTCACACCGGTGGACATATGGGGGCATAAATTTAACTAAATAGACCTTAACATATATGACAGAATGTATGAAATCTGGTGTGGTGGGCATGGGGTGGGTACTGATATGGAAAGGGGTCTAAATATGATTAAAATGTATTTCATGAAATGCTCAGAATTTCAATAAAAAAAAAAAACTTCCTCATCCAACAAAGTACAATGAACACAGACGGCCACAACTGGTTAAGTTTTAGAGAATAAAGAGACTGCAGAGTGTGTGTCCCTGGATAGGACTCTTATATTAAACCTCACCAACCAGAGCTCTGGGACCCTTGTGGAAGAGGCAGCAGAAAGATTGTAAGAGCCAGGGCTGGTGCATGAACATAAGGAAACAGAGGTTTTCAGGCCACTGGGAACTTGTTCATATGAACTTGCAACAATGGTGACAGTATGCACAAGGCCACACTGATTCAATCAGCATAGACTAAGGTAAATGGGCAGCAGATGTCAAACGCAGCGTAGAAACTATTGACAACTGATTACTGCTAGGTGACGGAGAATAGATCTTCCTTAAGGGAGAGAGTCTAGATAGACTGACTAGACCCCAGAGAATGAACTTGTATGGAGGGACATCTAGGTACACTAACTTGATAGGCCTTAATATATATGATAGAATGCATGAAATCCAGTGTTGGGAGTTATGCAGTGGTGTGGATGAGGGAGGGAGGTCTAAATATTATTAAGATGTAGTGTATGAAATGTTCAGAATTTCAATAAAAATATATTGAAAAAAACATTCTTTTCCTCCATCAGTGAAGTTGGTTGTTGTTTACAGTCAAGAATCTTAACTTGGGCAGGGTATGGTGACACATGCCTTTAATCACAGCACTCAGGAGGCAGAGGCAGCCGGATCTCTGTGAGTTCAAGGCCAGCCTGGTCAACATAGTGAGTTCCAGGACAGCTGGGGCTACAGGGAGACCCTGTCTCAAAAAGACCAAAAAAAAAAAAAAAAAAAAAAAAAAGAAAAATCCTAACTTGGAAGAAGCAGGTAGGGAGGGTTCGGACAAAGATAACAACCACAAGCTAAAAATTTGAGTTCTACAGGAGAATGGCTTCACCTGTTGTCCAGCATGGCAACTATAATTAAAAGCAATATTGCATTTTGAATATTGCTAAAAGAGTAAATTTCAGGTGTCCTCACCACAAAACATTGGTAAACATGTGAAATACTGAATATGTTGATTAACTTGCCTCGGCCATTCTTTACTTAATATGTACATATTTGAAACACAATTCAATGAATATATATATATATGGCTTTTATTTCAATTAAAAAAGTACATTCAATAAACCAGAGTACCTTAACTCATAGAATGAAGAACCCTCTTTAGAATAATATATCAATACACTTGTCATTTTTTGGTAAAATTCTAGGATTCATGACTTCCCTCTGTGCAATAGATGACAAAAGTCAAGCAGGCTAAGACTAAAGGATTTTCCCAGAGCCAGTTAAGTAGATTTGAGTTGGTCTTGGTGTTAGAACTAGGTTGTTTCAGTGCATAAACCATCATTGTGCATGGGTATGTGAATGCCTATGTGATGCAGAGTGTGGTGAGAATGATCCAAATTCCAGGGCCCTCAGCTCTGTGGTGTGGCTGGCTGACTCTTACATCTCAGACGGGACAGATGTGGTAATCTATAATTGTCATTAACACTACACCTGAGAGGGGATGTATTCCCAACTGCAGTCAGGATCTGACTTAAAAAAAAAAATTTTTTTTGATCTTTTGAGACAGGGTCTCCCCGTAGCCCCAGGTAGCCTGGGACTCACTGTTTAGACCAGGATGGTCTCCAATTCACAGAGATACCCCTGCCTCTCTTCCAAGTCCTGGGATTAAAGACATTCACCACCATGCCCGGCCTTATTTTATTTTATTTTATTGTGTATGAGTGCTATGCTTGCAGGTATGTAAGTGCATCTGTGTCACCCGGTACCCTCAGAGGACAGAGGAAGGTGTCGGATCCCCTGGAACTAGTTGTTAGCTGCTATGTGGGTGCTGGGAATCGAACCCTGGCCTTCTACAAGAATAGCCAGTGCTCTTAACTGCTGAGCCATCATCTCTAGAGCCCGCAGAATCCGATTTTATGTTTAGGTTATGTTCATTTAAATGAAGAGCTTATTCACTTTTCAAAGTATATAATATTT